TTACCTGTTAAAAGAGAAGAGTGAAGTTAGGCCTTTAGTTAAACAGTTTGTTAAGATGGTAGCAACACAGTTTGACAAAAGGGTTAAAAGCATCTGATAATGGTGCAGAATTCTTGATGAAAGATTATTATGTAGCAGAGGGTATTTTACATCAAACTGCTTGTCCAGAAACCCCAGAGCAAAATGCAGTTGTCGAAAGAAAACATCAGCATATACTCAATGTCACGAGAAGTCTTCTGTTTCAAGCTAATTTGCCAAAGATTTTTTGGAATTTTGCTGTCATACATGCCACTTATCTCATTAATAGAATTCCAACTCCCCTATTGCAGGAATGCTCTCCATATGAAAAGCTTTATCACAGTCTGCCAGATCTTTCAACCTTAAAGGTTTTTGGAAGCTTGTGTTATGCAAATACTTTACAGGCTGGGAGAACTATTACAGGCTGGGAGAACTAAGTTAGAGCCAAGAGCTCAAAAGTGTGTGTTTTTAGGCTACAAAGAGGGTACCAAAGGGTATTTAATGCTGAATTTGCATACTAGAGGATTATTGGTTTCAAGGAATGTTATCTTCTATGTGAAACTATTTTCCCTTATTCTGAAACTCAGTTTCAACCATTATTGCCTCAACTTAATGACACATATGCAGATGCAGATTATGTTCCTATATCACATGCAGCAGATGCAGTCAATGCAACAGATGTAGCTAATGCTCTTATGCAAGATGATGGCTTAAGACGATCCGCAAGGACAAGGAGAGCCCCTCAATATTTGCAAGATTACCATTGTAATCTAGCATATCATAATCACACTATGCCTATTGCTTCTACACAACATTATATTTCCCAAGTGCTTACATATTCTCAGTTGTCTCCTTCCTACAAACATTTTATTCTGAATGTTTCTTGTCTTCAAGAACCAAAAACATATAAACAAGCTGTTAAACATCTTGTATGGAGGGAAGCTATAAGCTATGGATAAGGAGCTTGAAGCCTTGGTTTTAAATAATACCTGGACTGTGGTTCCTCTTCCACCAAATAGGGTACCTATTGGCTGTATAAAACAAAGTTGAAGTCAGATGGTTCTATAGAAGGCATAAGGCTAGACTAGTTGCCAAGGGTTACACACAGGTTGAGGGCCAGGACTTCTTTGATACTTTTTCTCCCGTAGCTAAAGTTACAACTATCAGACTCCTCTTAGCTTTTAGCTACAATGAAAGGGTGGTTTTTAGAGCAACTTGATGTAAATAATGCTTTTCTTCATGGTGATTTACATGAAGAAATTTATATGGAGGCTCCTTTGGGGTTACAGGTTCCTGATGGTTCAGTTTGTAACCTACAGAAGAGTTTATATGGCTTGAAGCAAGCCAGTAGACAATGGTTTCATAAGTTAACGACTTTTCTTGTTGCTATCGGCTATCAACAATCTCAATAAGATCACTCTCTATTCACTAAATCGAAAGGTGAACAATTTACTGCCTTAATGATATATGTAGATGATATTGTTCTAACAGGGAATGATTCTTCAGAGATTAGCTTAGTCAAAGCTTCTTTGGATGCTAAATTCAAGATAAAAGATCTTGGTAAGCTAAGGTACTTTCTTGGATTGGAAATTGCTAGGTCAAAGGCAGGATTGCATATAGGTCAGAGAAAGTATGCACTAGAGCTCCTAACTGAGTATGGAGTTTTAGGTGCTAAGCCTTCCTCCTCCCCTATGGATTATAATGTCAAATTGAGCAAAGATGATGGTGACTTGTTAACTGATATAACAAGTTACAGAAAATTAGTGGGGCAGCTATTATATCTCACTACCACAAGGCCAGATATTACTTATGCTGTCAATACCTTGAGCCAATTTCTCTCTGCACCAAGAACAACTCATTATCAGGCATTGCTCAAGATTCTTAGATATGTTAAATCTAGTCCTGATAATGGTTTATTCTATAAAGCTAGTTCGGCACCAAAGCTAACTGCCTTTAGTGACTCTGATTGGGCCGGATGCCCTGACACAAGGCGATCTATAACAGGTTATGCAATTTACCTGTGACACAAGGCGATCTATAACAGGTTATGCAATTTACCTGGGAGATTCTTTGATCAGCTGGAAATCAAAGAAGCAAGTGACTGTGTCCAGATCTTCTTCAGAAGCAGAATATCGAGCTCTTGCTGTCACAACATGTGAGCTTCAATGGTTGAGCTATATGATGTCTGATCTTGGTCATAATTTATTTGCACCCATCAGTCTCTTTTGTGATAATCAATCAGCAATTTATCTCACAGCTAATCCTGCCTTTCATGAGCGATCGAAGCATATAGAGATAGATTGCCATTTCATTCGAGAAAAGGTTAATTCTGGCCTTGTTCATCTTGTGCCTATTTCTACAGAGCTGTAGCTTGCTGACTTGTATACCAAATCTCTTTCTCCTTCACGTTTTAAGTTTCTCATGTGCAAACTGGGCATGTCTAACATCCATGGCCCAGCTTGCGGGGGGGTAACAGGGGATTGAAGATGATTAGTAACAGAGGATTGAAGATGACGTCGTTTCATTATACAAGAAAGAAAAAGATTACGAAAAAGGAAAACGGTGTCGCACGGAAAAATGAAGTCGCACGGAAAAATGAAGAAAGAGAAAGTTTAAGACTGTAACTATATAGCAGCCATCTAGTGTAGCAAAGTTGTTGGTGTGTTTTGTTATTTCCTTCTTCTTTCAAGAACTGGAACTTTCCTCTGTTTTCCCTCTGTTTCTTGTCTTCCTCTCTTGTACCTGTTATCCTGTTATCTTCTTCCCTTGGTATTGTTATCCTTCTTATTCAATGGAATGGAATTCACTCAGTTTCATCATTATCGTCTATATTTATTTTATTAAATATACTTAACTTTTAATGTTGTCCTATCATATTAATAGTTTATAAAAAAATATTTTCTTGTTCCTCTCTTGTACCTGTTATCTGTTATCTTCTTCCCTTGTATCTGTTATCTTCTTATTCAATGAGATGAATTCAATCAAGTTTCATATTATCGTCTATAATTATTTTATTAAATATACTTAACTTTTAATGTTGTCCTATCATATTAAATTAGTTTATAAAAAAATATTATTCGCTTATAATATGAGTATTATTAATCAAGTCTTAATATTATATAAATATCTAAAGAATATAAGAGAAAAATTATAACCATACTTAATACTATATAAAAATAAATTAATGAATATAAACAACGAGTAATATCAAATGCTAACAACGTGTAATGCACGTCACAAAAAATACTAGTGATATTAAATAAAACGACTAATGTTTCTCCTCAATTTTAGCCTTAATATAATAAAATTATAATATAATGATAACTAGTATTCGAACTCAATATTAAAATTCAAAACACAAATATTTCTTAATTAAAAAATTTTAATAGAAAAATTACATATATATAAAAAAAATTAAATCACGAGTATGAACAAATATAAACAATGCATAAGGCACGTTTACAAATACTAACACTAATAAAAGAGGCATTGTTTCTACCAAAAAAAGCATACGAATGGATTCACTATCACAATTCAAATTAATTTTCTATTTCAAATATCATATTTTTCATTTTTTTTAAAATGGGTTTGGGTAACCCGATATTAGGGGCATTCATAATTCAATTCTGTTCGTTTGGAGGATTTGTATAAACCAAACAAGTAATGATTGTTCATATAAATTTAAATCAAACCAAACTAGGAATTGAAGATACTCAAATCAACCAAACCTATTGATATATTATTGTTCAGTTTATTTCCGTTGACAGTTGGTGATATGTTCAGAAGTACTCATTTTTATACAAGGAAAACAATATAAAAATAACTTCTCATCTTTATCAATAATAAAAAAAAAAATACTTAACTTATGTGTAAGATACACAAGATTTTTTGAGTATTTCCCTGAATCTACTGGAAGGTTATAATCCACTTACCATTAGATTATATTTTGGAGTGAAGATTGAGTGTGAGAAATGAAATTAAATTATTTATGTTGCCAAACTTAACCCAACGGACGTGTACAACGTAAATGACTTGTTAAAAATAAAAATAAAAATAAATCTAATCTAAATGCACAGGAAGCAATAATACAATATTATACATATGTTTGGTTCGATTCAATTTTAAACAAAATTTTAACTTCAAAATCATAAACCAAACCAACCTTTCAATTTTATTGACTTTTAAACCAACCCCAACCACCAACGTTTTAATTATTCAAAATCGTTTATCTAAATAAGGCTCAGAGTGAATATCCAAAATATTAAACCCAAATCCACAACGGGTAATAAATTCAATATGTTTTATCTATCTCAAACCTATTTAACTAATATCCAAAACCTGCTTTAAACAGATCGGGACAGTTCGGGTACTAGGAGAACTCACCCAGCTTCTATCTCTAAATCCCTCCTCTTCCATAATCCTTAACTACCACCATCATTTATATAATATCTAAATATTAGTTATTTTCTGGTCCTTTTACTTTTATTTTAACCTTTGTTTATTTTCATCAAATAATTTATTTCTGTAAAATAATTTGCAGGAAAATATTTTCTACAATTTTTCATTATTAAAATAAGTGAACGAACAAATTCTTCCTTGCCAAAGAAAAACTAAATCATTTAAAAAAAAAAAAATGACTTCCCATTCTCAAGAGAAGAAAACATTTTCCGGATTACAAAGTTATTATAACCGCATATTTTTTAATTCATTAGTTATCAGTAATCACTATTACCAGTCATCATTCACTACCAGCCACTGTCGGCCACCACCATTGATCATCAACGACATGCATAATTTACCCTCTTTTTTTTTTGCATTTTCTCATATTTAACAATAAAATTTTTATTATAATATTTTTATGATTTTATGAGTTAAAGATTTTAATATTTTTTAATTTTCAATATTGCAACTAAACACTAGAAAATAAGTTATTTGAAAAAAAGTTTTTTAAGGAAAACATTTTCCAAAAGTAAATTATTCTCTAAAAACAAACGGATTTCAATTTTTTTAGATTTACAAACGAGATATTTACAAACCATAGATTTTTGGCATTTAAATTATACAGAAAAAGGGCAAAACAAAATAAAAGATAACTGAAAATAAGGAAGTCGAGGAATATACAAAACGACAACTCAAACTCGCAATGCCTTATTATCGATGAGCTACTTAACATCGGTTGAGAAGTTAATACATGAGAGCAAAGGTTAGTTAACTGACCAATTCAGAAACCTCTATGCATCGTTGCTCTAAATAGGACACTATATGTAACTCCTACCACTTGAATGGCACTGTGATAGCCACAAGTCTATGTGTTCAACAATTTGCTGCCTTACTTTATGAACTGCATCTGGAGAACTGCAGTTCTGGGCATTACCTGAAATAGACAATAACTATCAGAGAAGACTGAAGAGGGATTAATCACTGTGGAAAAGTAAAAAACAAAAAAGCCATGGGTATATCTGTATTTTTGCATTTTATGAAGAAAGATAAAAAAGATGACGTCACAATAAAATTTATGGCTGAATTAGGGTCCAAATCTTTTTTGAACCATTTGAAAGATAAATGACAATATGCAAAATTTCAACATAAATTCTACATTTGCTTCGTTTACCCAAAAAAAATTACCTTCAGGGCTTAAAGGAGATTGCGGACAACCTCGCAAATCAGTCCCATGCCCACAATTATGGCAAGTGATTATGTAGGAGGGCACTGTGAAGTTTAAAAGAAAGTTATCAATGGACATTCTCGAAAATAAACAGATATTGCAAATATTATTGTCTTGCTTGAATCTAACATTGCAGTTCTGCATAATGTGGCCATCAGATAAATCAGGTATAACTAATCTAAAATTTAAATAGCAGTAATTCTCATAACAAACATTAGATAAGCATGAAACAAAAGTTATAGTGAAAGAATAACTAAATCTAAGGTGGTGTTCTACAAACACTCGGGTATCTAATCAAAATTCAAGTTTGTGGCAAAACGATGATAAGAACTAAGGCATGCACTATTATGATATAACTAAATAACAGAATCCCAACTCATGAAGTTCAGTTAATTAGGTAATAGAAAATTCAGTTTTCCATTTGGTTACCTCAAATGACTGAAATAACTGAAGTTTAATTGATATATAAATATAAATTTTTTTTAATTATATAATATTTATAATGACCTTGTACCAAAAATATACAATATTTAATGATTTTTAATAATAGTATCTAATTATATAAATTTTATTAGTAATAATAGCTAATTAAAATTGTTTGGTTATTTCAGTTACCAAAATAACCAAACCAAATTGAAATTTGGTTTTCTCTACAGATTTGGTTTTGGATCAATTATAATTTCAGAGGGGTAAAAAATTTCAATTAGTTGAAACTGTTGTTCAACTATATGAATCCGCACCCATTGCTACCTTTCATGAACTTATGAAGCAGTGGCCATACTGAAATTTCATGTGATGACAAGGTGAACACGAATGAATCTGAACAAAGGCATTTTTTACATTTAGACATGCTCTACTGTGTCAGGAAACTTGTTAAGTTCAACAAAATAATATAAATGTTTTAAATTCCATATCAAAGTAATTGTTCCACTTTTCATTTCCCAGGATCATATTTCCAGATAAGTTATTAGAAACTTACTGTCAGGTGATGAGATCTGTTTTGATGCATGACGCCAGGGATCTTGGGAGCCATTGGTAAAAACAATTTTGGAGCCTGCAAAGAAGCAAAAGAAAGCTACATATAAATGCATGTTTTTGATGGTGCTTTCGTCAAGGCAACAATATAGAGATGGCCAACATCATGTTTAGATGTAATTATTTTGTCCATGCATGCTATATAATTATTATCTTCTAAAACTTGCCTATATCTAGACAGAAACACTCTCTTTTCCTCAATAATTTACGTTAGTTATTATCCAGCATCCAAGGCTTTATTTCTTGCAAACAAAAACTTGGTCAAATACTCCGGGATTTACTATCCATACTCCATCTTTTTCATACAAAATCACTTCGAAAGCAGAAATGAGAAATTTTACTGATGACGCTGGCCCAAAATCAGTCCCCAATTTGACCACCAAAACCCTACTTCGTGGTGTTAGAAGTTATTGCAAGGACAATTAAAATATCAAAAGATTAACTAAAACTAGAATTTCAGGTGAAACAATTAAACAGTAGGCAAGTCATAAAGAATCTTCTATCTATGGTTTATGCAGTTCCTTTGTGATGCATTGTGAGCAACAGACAGGATATTTGGTTTCAAATGTCAAACGATTGCTCTTAAAATAAGGACATCAGCAAAGGGGGGAGAAAGTTGCATGATAAGCAATCCAACAGGGTAGACATTTGTAAGACTAATGTATATAATGAATGGTACAAGTAGAGACACACATGTAAGGAGACAAAAAAGGCAACTCAACAAAATAAAAGAGTAACTATCTATATATTTGGACCTGCAATCTTTGTGCCACCATAGTATAAATTTGTTACATCAACTTCAGGATAGATGCCCTCCCCGAAGACATTCTTGCACAAATCCAAATGGTATCTGCAACATAAGAGTGGTGAATTTGCAGACAGACGACAAGACCATATTAAAACAACATTGTCACGTTTGACATTTTATATATTTTCTGGAAGCATAAAAAGTCTTAACATATATAAGGCATATAAAGCATGGTGGATCAGAAAACATGCCTTGTGTCAACTTTTGAGGAGCGAATACTATCATTTGAGGGTGCAACTTGAAAATATGCAACTTCAGTGCAAACTTGGAACCACCATAACCGATCTGAAGAATTTTCAACAACAGCAGTGCCTTTCAAGTATTTTTGATTATATGTTTGGACACTAACACCCAAGCTTGTAACGAAGTATTCTTTAACATATTTGGCATAAGCTTCCTGCAATAAAAATGTTATTTTGATTTTCCATTAGAAGCATGTTAAACAACCAAGGAAAGATGGCACCATATTCACCAATAAATTGATTTTATTGCCTGTCAATGGGAAAGGGAAAACAATCATAGTTGCCATTGAAAATTGTATAGTCAGCACAATATATGTATATCTATATATATATATATATAGACGAATCCTAACCCCACCTCAGTCCTTCATTTCTTAGCCAATCATCAAAGGCAATCAATATCAAGGAGAATAATTCTGGTGGGTGAAGTTTTTGTAAGATTGTTAAACCCATTAATCCACTTCTAGCATTGGAATCAACATCATAGGAACTATTTAATGCCAAGGTAACATTCAGCTGGAAATTGTGACTTCTGCAGCATTTTATATATCCAAAGATGCAAAGATCACATACAAAGAATGAATGAAGGACCGTACTCGACTATTTGTCCAGCAAGAATCATTCGTTTCCCCGGAAGGCCAACGAAGTGTCAAACAATAAGTAGTCTAATCAATCATTTAGTTGTTAGTAAGAATATGCCTTATGCATGCACACACTGCACACCACCGCCCCCCTCCCCCCCAACCCCAAAGTACCAAAATTAATAAAGTTCTCGACTTCTATCACAGAGGAATATGCAAGATAACGTAGATGGTTCAATTGTGATTGAACAAATAACAGGGAAAAAAATTAAAGTTCTCTGAAGAATCGATCTCAATCACATTTTCAAGAATCATGTAATTTTCTTTTTAAAAAAAAGATCCTAACATTTTTGTGAAATATATATTTAGGTGATCACATTTCTCGAATGGAATTTTATGCTAATTAACTTTCCAAATTTGTCACACTTTAATCCTTCTGCTAAAAGACTAGACATTTTAATCTTTTTTTTTTTACTAAATAAATAATTTTTTACTCCCTAAGGTTTTAAATGAAGCAACATCTTGAACTTTCATACACTTTAATCCCTCTGGACTAAAGTGCATATATGAAAAGGTAAACTCTTACAAGATTTTTTCATTTTAAAAATGGGGATTAAATTGTAATTAAAGGACTAAACAGTGATGAACTTGTAATGAAGGAGGACCAATCAATATGTATATGCATGTGTATGAAAGTCTCAAGTGTATATTTTGTCAAATGTTAGGTGAATTTTTGTAATTTAACATAAAGATCATGGCAAGACAAGACAGGAAGGCTTACCACTAAATCGTCTCCAGCCTTCTTTGCTTCAACAAGAGGAGTGCATAGCTTATCTGGATTCCCATATTGAAACTGCAAATTATGACAGTAACATGATTAATACTAATTTTTGATAGTAAGCAACAAAGCAAAAAAAAAAAAAAAAGAAACAAAGCATACTGCAGTAACAGCTGCATCTGCCAGGAAATACAGGAAATCACCATCAATCTCAAGCTGCAAAAGAGATAAAAATGTACTCATGTGAGCTGAGAAGCACAAATAAAATCCCGTCTACTGTGTAGTTCATCTCATTGTTAAGACTCTCAAACTATAAATTAGTTTGATGACAGATGAAGCAAACCTCAGCAGCCTCAAATAATGTTTTTACTGCATTGCTGTTTGATGCCAGCCTTTCATCAACAAGTCGAGTGATTTCTTGTAATGCAGCTTTACATTCAGCACCAGCTGACTTGCCAATCTGGCAAAGCATGGACAGGGAAAGCAAAGGCTTACACAAAACAAAAGCAGATGCAGACAAAAATTTTCATGAAGCAAACAAAGGGGAAAAACACAAACATTCAACAGAGGATCAAATAAACAAATAAATAAAATAAAGAAAGAAAGAACAAGCATGCTGAAGGACATTGCCTAAGATGTATTTGACATGTATGTTACAGAATGAACATTGTGCTTACCTGCTGATCAAATTCAGTGAAATTGTAAACAGCAAGAACAACAGCAGAACTTGCAAGACTTCCACATGTTAAATGAGGAAACTTAAGACGAAACCATGCACTGAGAGCTCCAGAGTAAGATATCCCAAAAACAAACCAAGGATTGTCAAGATTTGTTCTATTCAGCTTCAGGTTTAGGGATTCCTGAGTATTATCAAAGAATATGAAAACTTGAGTAGCCCCAAAATGAAGAAAAATTGCACTATTGAATAATAATAATTATAGCTATGGTCCTCAAGAGGAACAAAGAAATTGATAAATCATCTTCAACTCATATTGGAAAACCATTATGACATCTGCTGGCCAAATTTAGGCTGCAAAAGGGATGCCTAGTTGTAAATACAATGAATTAATATCTCAAAGAACTAAGACAACCAACTCTCTACATTTTGAGCTTTCATTTGGACATCCTTAAAACTTGTATATAGGCATAAAGATATCTGCACACATAGCTGTGTACATAAAAATTTTACATCTTATGTGCCTGAGTGTGTCTGAGAGGTGTGCTCAAGGTTTTTGTGAAAAAATCAATAGAAAAGAAAGAAAGGTAACTCATGGCTATAAAGATCCAAAGTAAACTGCAGGACCTGTTCATTAATTGCAGCAAATTGCGGTAATAAAACAATTATGATGCTGCAATTTTTCACTACATTGGATTGATCTTGATTTCCGTTCATACAAGTTAAGATGGAGAGAGGGGATTCAGGTATCTATTGGATTCATTGTGTATTATCTTTATGACTTCACCTACAAAAAAATCTCTGAAATGGGAAAAAAAAAAATCTGGAATTCACAAAACAGCTTGCCTGATAATGCTGACGAAAGGCAGCCAAGTCAAAGAGCGCTTGTTTAGATGAAAGATATCTCAAATTCTCTGTTTCTGATGTTTTGAAGGGCGAGCTTTTACCATAGTATCGATGCTCAAGTGAAACAATAGCTGCTCCAAACTTTTTAGCCAAAACCTGTGTACAACCACAGCATTTATTTTACCTTTACCAATTATACCCACTTCAAAGGAGACCAAAAAAAAAAAATTCTTAACAACAAATCACAAATGCCTGTAATCCATGACTTGGAGATTCTTTAAATGCAAAACTATACTCACAAGCAGATTTCAAAGTGGAAACGCACAAAATTGCGCTTCGTTGGATCGTATCTTAACGAAACTTTAAAAATTGAAACTCAATTAGATATTAACAACCAATATTTCTTTAAGCTTAAAAATAATAATAACAACATTACGTATTAATGAACAACATGCCAAATGTGAGCAATGAAATTCATATTGTTCCGTTTCTTAACACAAACCAAACTCAACCAGAGATTGAAAAGAAGCTAACAAAACATTAGAATAACTTACACTGGTGTAGTCATCGGCTATGCCAGAACATGAAGATTCACCACAAATTTTCAAAAATATGGGTCCATCTGGAACTCTGAAATAGTCCAGGAATTCATAATACCTCTGAAAAAACCGACGATGATCCTGCGAAACATCAAAACCAACCAAATAATTAACTCAAATCTCCAAAATCCATTTGAGAATTTACAAAACAGGTAATCAAACTTGAATGAACTCAAAAGTATCTGTTTAAGCACAATTTGATTAGCGAAATTGTGAGGTTAAAAGAGCAAAAGAAAAGTACATATGGAGAATAGTGATCTAGAGTCTGATTGAACCAGAGCTCTTCAGTGGTTAAGAAATTGCTGCTTCCAGTTCCAGATAATCCATCAAGCATAAAACGAGGTGCAGGAATACCATACGTCACCGTCGAGAGAAGCAAGAACGATAGAATCGAAAGCCTCATCGTCCTCAATTTGCGTGGTCTCTGCTTATAGAAATGGTGGCTTTTGAAGGGGAATTTCCTTAAAACGTACTACAAGTTACTTGATCTACTCTTCAACTGACCGTTGCCTTTTTAAGCACTTTTTTTTTTCCACCGAACACCGAACAGCTGGTTTCGGTTCGATTTTCTATAAATGGATCAAATAACCAAAATGATGTTTGGAGGTTCAGCTATCCGTTCAACCAGAAAACCAAACTAAATTGACATGATTATTAATCGAATTTGATTTAATTTGTCAACTAAATCGGTTAATTTAGAATATTAAGATATAAATTTAGTTGTTTCAGTTGGATTTGATTTTTAATGAAGATAACTGAATTAGAAAACAGAAAAAATTGATTTTTTGTTTTGTAACGGTTTGGAGATTGGAAGGTCCATAAGCAGTGACAATTGCATTGTGAAAATTCGTTTTCGCTGTAGTTCGGATGGGTTCTCTTACCGAGTCACTGCCTATGAATCGCCAATTTCTAAGATTTGATTTGATTTTGTAAGGCTGGTTTGGTTTAACCAATCTTCAAGGACTTTTTTTTTTTTTTTTTTCCAAATAAGAATCAACATAACAAAACAATTATTACAAATCACGATTATTCCAAAAGGAACTTAAAATCAAATTTTCTAATTTTTTGCGCTAACTTGTTAGCCTCTTCTGTCTTCTCAGCTTATGAATACTTACAGTTTTTTTATGATTGTTTCGCAATTTTTGTGGGATGGTTTAATTTTAACCTTTGCTTGAATGAGATTATTTTACTTAAGGTTAATATATTTTGAATCTTTGCAATTTAAAGAGAAAATAACGAAAGAAAATGAGAATTTCATTTATTTTTATTAAATTACCCAAACACTCTAAAATAATTATAAGTGTATTTTATTGTTTGAAAATAAATAATAATATAACTGTCAATTTTCAATAATAATATTTTATTTTCTTTAAAATTTTGTCTTTCTAAATAAAGGAAGATAAATTTTTTTTTCCTTCATTATATTTAAAGTGAAAATAACTATGGGAAGAAAGTTGACAATTAGTTGCTTTTATTTTTATTTTTTTTTATCTCTCATTTTAATAATAAAAAAAAAGGCAGCTTCAAGGAACTAAATTAGGGAAGTTCAAATTCATTTATTTTCCTAAAACACCACCCTCCATCATTCTTTCAACCTCTTATTCTATGGCTTTCCCTTGTCAACTATTTATAGTTTTTGATTCTGAAAAAATTCATTCGGTAGCACAGCAAGGCATAATAGTGGTAAGTGTATTACAATCTGACGGTTCGAATCCCCTTTCCATATAAAAAAAGAAAAATTTTCTAATTGATTTAATAAATAAGTGAAGTTCAAATAACTTTATAATAAGACTCGTGAATTAATTCAATGATAGTAAATAAAATCGTAAATCGTAAATCAGCTTGAACTCAAACTCAAGCTTGTAAATTAGTTTCAACTCGAATTTCAACCTATATAAAGTGATGTGAACAACTTAATATTTTCATGAAGGAGCATATCCCAAGTGTTTACTTTTAATTACAGGTTAGAAAAAAAATAATAACGAGTGTAACAAAATAATCAATACTTACAAAACAGAACTAAAAATAAAATAAGAAAAAATATATATACATAACAAAACAAATTGCTGAAATTTAATTAAACAATATAACTACAAACTGTTTTCATTTTAACTGAAACAAAAAGCCCACATCTTGGGTTTAAGGTATTCAACAAAAAAAAAAAAAAAAAAAAAAAAAAAAAAAAAAAAAAAAAAAAAAATACTTACAACAAACTAAAAATAAATAAGAAATAAAATATATATACACTACAAAACAAATTGCTGAAATTTTTAATTAAACAATATAACTACAAACTGTTTTTCATTTTTAACTGAACAAAAAGCCCACATCTTGGGTTTAAGGTATTCAACAAAAAAAAAAAAAAAAAAAAAAAAAAAAAAAAAAAAAAAAAAAAAAAAAAAACACAATAATGCTAATTCACTCTTTCTCACAATCTTATTATCAAACATATATAATGACCCAATTAACAAATACATATTAAAAAAATACCTTGTAAAATAGGGAATCTGAAATTTTTTTGAAGCAAAGAGAATTGAAAACTTCCCCAATCTTTGAACTGATTAAAATAAAATGTCAAACATGTCCATGCTCAAGCTCTCCATCAAGACATTCTCCATGAAGCCACATTTGTTGGGTACTGTCCTTTTGAAGCTTCCCATACTTCTAGGGTTGAAATTGAAAGAACAAGAAGAAAGTGGAAGAATTGGGATATTTTCACAATTGCAGATTTCAATCATGTAACCATCTGGGTCATGAAAAAATATTTGCTCCACTCTATTCCCATCATCTTCTACCACTTGAGTCACATACCTCATTCCCATTTCTTGTAGCCTTCTCTTTGCAAGCCCAACATCTGTGCACTGTTGAATCACATTTCAAAACTATCTTTGTTACTATTGCTCCTGTTAACTTAATTATTGTAAATAAACGGCCTATTAGTTAGTTATGAACCGAGCGAAATAAAAACAAAAGATTCATATAACCGATTCTAACTAGTTTGAGATTACGATTTAATTGTTGTTGTGTATCTTACTTACCTGAAACGAAATGTGATTATCCTTGGGGTTGATTGGATGAGGTTTTACAATGGGGTCCAATTCATCGATAGCTGGATTTTCAATCAAATGTATGCCGATGCCATAATTGTATAACCTACATTAATTCAACTTAAATAATGAGAAAGTTCATATTTGAAAAGAATATTTTTGCATATGAATATTTATCTATGATCACGTAACATTAAAAACAGAAACCCACAAAGAAAGAAAAACAAACCAGGCTCCGTTGAATTTGAAAGAAGAGGGGCGTTTGATAAGAACAAAACCCAAAACTTCTTCATAAAAGCGCATAGAAGTCCAAACAGATCTGCACAACAAAGAAATATGATTCAAGGACAGAAGGGGCAATGCCTCGCAGCTGCTAACTTCCTCAATCTCCATTGGTGTGTGTTTGTTTGAACTCTCTCTAACACTTGAGCTTAATTTTGCTGTCTTCCACTTAATCAAGCTAGCTGGTTTGTTTCTATGAACAACATAACTAGTAAATCCACCTTTTATAGAAGAAGAAGTTTGCAAATATCTAAATCACTTTTCAGTTCAAATTCACTCTTTGGATGGTGAGGAACTTTCCTAGCACATGCTCTCTAGTTGTGACCAATTTAAGACAAAATAGAATTATTATAGTCATATGTTCTTTTCTATTTTTTTTTATCTTTTGCTGCTCTTATGTCCTCACTTAATTTTATGTTAAGCTATATAATTATTTTTTTAATAGATACAGTTACCACATTTTTGGTTTAGTTGATGCAATTGATACTCCCTCTGTCCCAAAATATAAGTCGTTTTTAGTTGATTATTTTGTCTCAAAATATAAGTTTTTTAATATTTTCAATAATAATAAATGATATTTTCTAATGTTACCATTATTAACATTAGATACAATAAATGATTTTACAAATAACTATTAGTTTTGAAATAAATGATATTTTAGTTATTTATCCTTGGTTTTGTTATAATGTAATAGAATTAATTGATTCTTTAGTCTTTGTGTAAAAATCTTCAACGACTTATATTTTAAGATAAATGGAATATTAAATTTCTTTTCATGTATTTTAAAAGCACAATTTTCCAAATATGATTGATGCTTTTTGTAATATTATTATTGGAGTACTTTCAAAAGAGAAGTGATCAAATTTCTAGAGAAGAGTGCATATCAAAGAACATTAAACATAATTAATGAGAAGCGTCTTTGTGCAGGGCCAAATTATACTTTAGAATTTGAGGAATAAAAAAATTAAAAAAAAAAAAAGATCCAAAGTGAAGAAAATAATTATTTTACAGTATTTTATAAAACAAAATAAAAAATATTTTGGAGTTTGGAGGGCCCGAGCTCCCCCAATGCTCCCTCTCCCTCTGCCCGTCTCCGTGAGACAGTAATTCTTTTTTTTTTTTTTTTGGCCCCGAGGCTCCCCCAATGCTCCCTCTCTTCTGCCCCCTCTCCGTGAGACAGTAAATTCTTTTTTTTTTTTTTTTTTAATTTGTTGTCTTGCCGAAGTGTTTTTTTCTTGACCCAGATCTTTGATTTTATAAAAAATAATTTATGAAAATTTAAAATGTGACTTACCACTGCAAGTCGTTGTTAACAATCAAAGATATAGTGATATTAATTCTTTTTTTTTTTTTTTTAATTTGTGTCTGCCGAGTGTTTTTTTCTTGACCAGATCTTTGATTTTATAAAAATAATTTATCGAATTTAAATGTGACTTACCACTCAAGTCGTTGTTAACAGATCAAAGATATAGTGATTCTGGTGATATATGTTCTCTTCTTGCGCTAATGTAATTCGCAGCAAATAAAGATCACAAACTTCCTACAAAGATTGGCAGAGCTGGCCCAAAGCAATTAACATAAGATAACTGAAAGCAATAGGCATATAACTTCTCTTACACTTTTTTAAGTTTATTTCAAATCAGATAAGTACTTTGTTGGCTTCGGAGAAATAGAGGTTGAAATTGACATTTTAATGAACAAATCTAATTGCTTCAACTTCATTTAATCAAACTGGATTGCGATTCAAAGCGAAGGATGTTAATCAAGAGAGAGCCCTCATTTTCCATATTTTTACGTGACATAAAAAAACCAATAAAACCACACCTGATCGGCAGAAAATTTAATATTTTATTTATAAAATATCTAATGAAATCTGAAATACGAAGTTGAACATTTATCTAATTTAAATAGACTCAAAACAATATGCTATGTGCTCCAACTTGGGTTATTATATTCGGACTGTAAAACTAAACAGGGAAATAAGAATCAAGTTTTAAAAATTTTAGAAATTCTATTCGAAAGAAATATTTAGAAATTTCTTGGATGTTTCAGTAATAATAATAATAATAGTAAGTTATTATTATTAATTGATTGAAAAGAGCAAAAACTGATATTTCCTGCAAATCTCATTCACAGTACAATTTCCGCGTTGGAATACATAGTAATATCTAAGATTAGTATATTACATTATTATTACAATAAATCACATCACATGATAATACAAACATGAAACCGTGTCTTCTAACTTCTAACGTACGATACGTATCCGCGTTACGGTTCTGTCCGTAAAGGGTTGTTTGTTACTAACGTATCACGTCGTTGAGATACAAGAGATTAATGAACGTGCTCGTAGGAGATTGCAAGATTACTAGCCAGCAACTTAATTGTAAGCTTATTTGCATCATTAATTCAATTCGATATAATAAAAAGGAAAGTTGCAGTAAAATGAAAATATAAACATGTGTTACACATATGATTTTCAAAATTAAAGGAACACCGACATATATTAAGGTCTTACTTAAATGGACACAAAAAATCATAGTAAATCAGTTTTTTTACCTCGAATTACTTGAAATAATAAAGAAATTCTTTTATCCGATTCCTCTGAAAAAATGTCATTATTACCATCAAAATTATTTAATTCAGGATAGAAATCTCTCATAATTCTTTCCATTTTTATATCAAAAGATATATATTTAATAAGACGTGTAAAAATCTTTCATCTTTTAACCTATTACATGCATTAGGCAAATGAAACACAAGACCGCGTTTTATTTGGCTGATTGGTAAATTGATACAATCTGCTAAGAAAGTTCCTCATCATACACAAATACAAAAACATTCAAGAATAAATTTGAATTCCAATTTATGAGACATTCCCAAACTTCAAGCTAATTTATAAAAAGGAGAGTTTGCTTATTATGCTTTTCAAACAAAACCATAGAAATGGAAATTGAGGAAGTGGGCATCTATCATGAGCCATTGCCCCTTTTGTCCTTAAATCATATTTCTTTGTTGTGCAGATCTGTGTGGACATCTATGCGCTTTTACGAAGAAGTTTTGGGCTTTGTTCTTATCAAACGCCCCTCTTCTTTCAAATTCAATGGAGCCTGGTTTGTTTTTCTTTCTTTTTTTAGTTTATTTTTTTAATGTCGCAAAGATCAATAGGTAAATATCTATGTACAAAAATTTTTCTTGAATATGAACTTTTCACTTATTTGAATTGATTTTATGTAGGTTCTACAGTTATGGCATCGAATACATTTGATTGAAAACCCAGCTATCAATGAATTTGATATCATTGTTGAACCTCGTCCAATTAATCCCAACAATAATCACATTTCATTACTGGTAATTAAAATATATAAAAATAATTAAGTTATAATCCAAAACTAGTTAGGATTGGTTACTATGAATATTTTATTTTTAGTTCGCTCCGTTCACAGCTCTGTTCATAACTAATAGTAAGTCGTTTGTTTACGATAATTAAGTTAATAGTAACAAAGGTAGTTTTGAAATGTGATTTCAGTGCAAAAATATTGGGCTTGTAAAGAGAAGGCTACAAGAAAGGGGAATTAGGTATGTGTGACTCAAGAGGTAGAAGATGATGGGAATAGAGTGGATCAAATATTCTTTCGTGACCCAGATGGTTATGTGATTGAAATCTGCAATTGTGAAAATATCCCAATTCTTCAACTTTCTTCTTGCTCTTTCAATTTCATCCCTACAAATATGGGAAGCTTCAAAAAAACAACACCCAACAAATGTGGCTTCATGGAGAGTGTCATGATGTTGAGCTTCAGCATGGACATGATTGACATTTCATTTTAATGAGTTCTAATTTCTGAAAATGTCAAATTTCCAAGTTTAATGTATTCTATTGCATATTAATTGGGTTACCTATTATAATGTTGAATGATAAGAAAATGCTAAATATTTATTAATAAATTGAGATTTTGTTGAGATTAAATCAACCTAAGACAGAAATATTAGCATTCAATCTGTTTTGATTATCATCTTTAATATCACTCGACTCCACTGCTCTAATATTGTCAATTTTATTTTAGATTTTTTTATTGAAATTAATTATATTTTTAATTTAAAAATTAATTAATGAAATTATTAATTCGATTGGTAAAAAGTTATTAAATTTCTGAAGTTAGAGTATTGAAATTCAAAGACTAAATTAACTATATGATTTCTAAAGTTCAAAGATCAATTTGACATTTTGTCCTTCTAAATACTATGAAAATGACATTTTTTTTTTCATTTTAATTAGGATATAGTTTATAATTAGTTTAAATTTGAAGTATAACTCATCAAAAAAAAAAAAGAAGTATAGAGCCAAAAAATTAAAATGAATTTGATCTAATAACTGCATGAGTAAATCATACAAAACCAATGCTATAACCAACTAGCTAGCTTTATTGAAGTTATTAAGAGATAAGGTAAACTCCAACTTTTAACACTCCCTAAAAGTTAATAATTTAAATTGAGGAATCAACAAAAAAAAAAAAATTGTAATTATATACAATTAAAATCAAAATCAAGGAATGTGCAGTTAAAATTTTTATTATAAACTATAGGAAAAAAATATAAAAAGTATCATTTGATTTTGTATTTTCACATTTATTAGTGTTCTTTTTTCTTTCTACCCCATGCATTGATTCTATAGTTTTTATTGTTAACTTTTTGGGATAATTTTATCTAGATTGGGTCTATACCCACTTATAGATCAAACATATGAGAATAAGATTTTTTGTTGAAACGAGAATATTTCTGACCATATAATGAAAATAAAATCGGAATACTCTTATAAGCATAGCTATAGATCCGGTCTAAATAAATAATTTCTTTACTTTTTTTTCTACCTCAAAATAACTAATCCCATTTATATATATATATATGTGTGTGTGTGTGTGTGTGTGTGTGTGTGTGTGTGTGTGTGGCGCTAACATGGCATGGCAGTTAAAGCAAAATAAAATAAAATTATTTGATGATGTGGCGTCCAAGTCACTGTTACAGGATTTATTTTATTAAAAAATTGAGAAGAAATAATTTTGAAACAAAAATTGTCTTGTCATTTTGCACTTTTATAAGAGGAAATGGAAACTTCACTATTTTATCCTCCTATTTTATCAAAATACATGATTTTGCCTCTATATTTTTAGAAATATATAATTTTGACTCATTGTTTGCCTCAATTACACAATTAGATCATTCTGTCAATTTTTTAATTTTTTTTATGTAACCACCGGTATCCGGACTCTATTACTAGGGATCACCTAATGCGGCTTGGGATTAGCGACAATTAAGACTTTTCGTCCCTCCCTAAAAATGTGTTAATGGAGATCGAACCCGAGAGCAAATTAGAAACAAATTAGTTAATTTTGGCAAAATATAAAACAAAATAATAATTTATGGGCAAAAAAGTACAAAAAATTGATAAATGAATTAACGGATGCAATAAATAGGGATTTATAACTACGTACTTCTAAAATGCGGGTTTAATATCATGTATTATGACACAATTTAGAGTTAAAATTAATTTCCATAAGAAAATGATGGTCTCTATTTGGTTACATCTGTGCAAATAGGCAGTTGGAATCTGAACCGCAAAAATCAAAAACTAAAGATATCTTTTTTTGAAACCAAATCAAATTGGTCGGTTTGATTCGACACATCGATTTGGTTAAACAATTTGATTTTACTCAGAAAATAAATGTTTTATAATAACCGATCCAAAGATTGAAAAACCGAAATTATAAAAAATTAGGAATCAAAGCCGGAACCAAAAATTAAATAATCAATTCAAAAATCGAAAATAGTTTGGTTTGGTTTAATTTTTTATTTTATCCAAAGTTTGCTCACCCCTAGTGACTTAAATAATTTCTTGAGTTTTTATATAGTGAAGCTGTGATTCCATTTAGGATATTATATGAAATAAATTCATGTTATTTATGTTTTTGCTATTATTTTTGTTTTATCTTCATTTTGTGTAGAGTTTATGATCTCTCTATTTTATATGGAGTTTTGTTTCGTTGTTTGCATTTGTTTGGTTTATTTGGATATGCTACAATTTGTAGAGAATTTTTCAACTATTCGTTGATTTTTATCTTTTGGAGCTTGGTAGTGCGACCTGTTCCTCCGTTAGATTTAGTGGTTCAAATCCTTTGTGTTCGTCATAAGCAACTAATTCATGGATAATTACACTATGTACAGAAGATTCAGAGAGTTTATTTAATCAACTACTTTTGAAGATCCATCCGTTCTCTTCGAGTTCACCTTCTATTTTTAATTAGGATTTCTTATTAGATCAACGAATAATAATTATTTTATAGTTTTATTCTATGTCTGGTCTTCAGAAGAGGAGTCATGTCCTACTGTAATATTTGTATTGATTTGAAATTTTTTAACGAAATCGTAATATTATCTTTAAAAAGAAAAGCCGCAACTGCCAGAGAAAAGAAAAAATTACTGAATTTATGGGATTCACCCGTGCACATCTGTTTATCTACTATTGTTTTGTTATTCAATATAAACTTTTTATTATTATTATTGTATAATTTTTCCTTCTTCAAGGGATACATACATTTTGGTTCCTCCCTGAGATTCTGGAGAGAGGAGTGAGCTTGAGATTTTGATTTTTTGTTTTTTTTTTTTTTTTTTTTTTTTTTTTTTTTAAATATTTTTTTTTTTTTTTTTTTTTTTTTTTTTTTTTTTAAATCTAATTGCCGTAATAACCTTTTAAGATGCAAATGATTTCAAATATGGATATACATGCATTTATTATGTAAAAAGTAATAAATTTAAATGAAGGAATCCAAAAAACAAAAGTATAAATTTGTAGTTATATAATTATAATTAAGATCAAGGAATGTGTAGTTAAAAATATTTATTATAAATTATAGGGAAAAAATATATTTCTTCCATCCCATAATTTGTATTCTAATTTGATTGACACATGGATTAAGAAAATTTAGTTAATATGATAAAATTATAATTTTTATTCCATTTTTTCGTAAATATGCTCTTATGTTAGTATCCATAAAACTTAAATGATCCATATTAAATTATTTTCGAAATTAATCAAACATTTGATTCAATAGAGTTTTGTTGAAGATTAAAAGTTGATACGTTAATTCTATTTATATCAAGATTTAATTAACAACAATATAATATAGTTTGACTATTATATTTGTTAATAAAAATATATTAAATAAGTAAAATAGTAATCCCAAATATTATTCACTCCTAAAAGAAGAACAAGACAATCATTTGAGATGGATGAAAAAAGAAAATAGAACAAAAATTATGGGACGAAAGAAGTCAAAAATATCCTTTAATTTTGTATTTTCACATTGATTGGTTTTTTTTTTTTTTTTTTTTTTTTGTATTTTCACATTGATTGGTTTTTTTTTTTTTTTTTTTTTTTCTTCTTTCTTTTTCCCATGACATTGGATTTAACCAATGCCAAGTAAAATAAACCAGCATAAATAAACAGAGCCAATTGCAATAACCAACTTAGTTGAACTTTATTGAAATTATCTAAGAGATAAGGAAAACTCTATTTTAACTCTCCTTTCCTTGTTATGTAATTATGCTAATTGTTCAATTTTAAGGTAAGTTGTTCATAACTACATTTAATTTACTCCAATGTCTCTAAAAATGTTCCAACATGTATTGTTAAATAGACCATAAGTTATATATATATTATATATGAGTAGTATATATATATAATATATATATATATTTATATATATATATATATATTGGAGTGTGTGTCATTTTGATGTATTACACACATTAAGTATAATACCTCTAAATCAAATTTCACAAATTTGATCAAATTCACATTTATTTTACAACAAGTTTTTTGCATGAAAATGTCATGCATAACATTCATACAGGAATGTTTCTAAATGGAAAAATGTGCCTTTTTAGTAAATAATTTGTAAATAAATATATGGGTGTGTGTCATTTATGTATACACACATTATATAATAGCTCTAATATCAATTTCACAAATTTGATCATTCACAATTTATTTTACACAAGTTTTTTGCATGAAAAATGTCATGCAAACATTCATACAGGAAATTTCTAATGGAAAATGCCTTTTTAGTAATAATTTAAATAAATTGAGGTATTCCAAAGAAAAGTAATAAATTTTCAGTTATATATAATTAAAATTAAAATAAGAAATGTGTAGTTAAAATGTTTATTAGAAGCTATAGGAAAAAATATAAAAAATATCCCTTAATTTTATATTTTTACATTTATTCGGTGTTTTTTATTTCTTTCCCCATGATATTATATTATATATGCATACACTAAAATGAAACCCAAAATCACTGTTCATATTACAATTTCACCCTTCTTTCTTAAATTGTTTTACATTCTAAACCCCATTCTCTTTACTCATCTTTCTACAATAAATAGAATACCCATGATAATTATAGAAAGTAGGAAGAGATAATGTCAATAAGAAAATTCATGGTGGGAGGATAGATTACTATCATATGGCACCTTTGTGGGTCATACGTGGGCTATGCATTATTTTTTTCATCTATATATATATATATACATTGAGAAAAGTTTATGCAAATAATAATACATAGCAATAAAAAAATGAGAAATGGTAAAATAGTAAATATATTCTTAATGGGATTTAAGATTTTTCGTTTTGGGAATGATTGACGTACTATGTTGTGCTTTATTTTTTCACGTTTAATTTCAATAATACTTAAATATTAAATATGTTTATTATTCCACATTGACTATTTTAAAATTTTTTTTCAATCCTAGAAATTTCTTAAACTTATAAATAAAAAATTCTTAAGAGATTTGTCAAATGCATTTTATAACTTATTAATAATTATATCACTTAGTATTTAATAGATAGAATTTGAAAAATTTTAGAGATACAAATGAAAATGAGTACTTTCTTATAAATTTACTAATTGTTAAAGTATTTTCAAATGTAAAAGAGAATATATCTCCCCTTTCTCCTAAAACCTAAAACCTAAAAGCTCTATTTTCTTCCTCCACAGACAGTCATTTGTGAGCTCACATCGGGGTCAAACTTTCCCTTGTGGCCATCGGTGTGCTCACATCAGTGGTCACTTTTTTCCTTTTTTATTTGTTCTTTTTTACAAATAATCCTCAGATCTATACAAATCTAAATTATTGTCCCCAAATATAGAAATTTATTGTTGTATGTATCTTGGGTTTATTGTTGTTGGAATTTATTGTTGCTCATATCTTAAGATTTTGTTCTTAGATCTAGGTCTGAGTTATTGTTATTACCATTATGATGATTTTGTCTAGCGTCTTTTATTATTTGAATTGTTATGCAGAAAGAAGTACATATCTCACCTCCAATAGAAGAAAGAAATTTGAAGGTAATCAGATCGGACTTGTAAAAAGACCATGGTTATAAAACAATGACCATAAATAGCCACCAAGCGGAGCAAGTAATTGCCTATAGCATAAATATTATGCTCTCTCAACTCGATCAGATACTTCAAGTCAAGATTGTGTTTTTCCATTCTTTGTATAAGTGGTTTATTACTAGAATTTCTATATAAAAAATATAGAAATATATTGATTTGAAAATATAATTTTTTTTATACATGGCCAGCCTAATGAACCAGAAAAATATTATGGACTACATTGTAGAAGGTGTAGCCTTCCACTTCGAATAAATTCACCAAATATGAATTAACATTTATGGTGGAGATGACTTGAACTCAATATGAATTAAGTACAATATATTTGAATTTTATTCATAAAAATTTTAGATATATTTATGAAATAAGTTTTATATTAATAAAATATAATTTTCAAGTAAAAACCAAATGTAATTTTACATATATAAATAATTTTTAAAAAATAATTTAGCGTGGCAATTTCCATGCCCAAGGCTCAAACTTTCTTGAGATCTTTAGTTAAGAGAGATGAAGTCTCAACCATTCCTCCCATCCAACATTAGTAAGAAGGAGCGTTTTCTAAAATATTATCTCACCTAATATTTAGCGTTTTAGGTTTTTCTACAAAAAATTTTATACAACCCTATCCTTTATTAATTTAAAACCCTTCTTCATCACATTATTTCTTTGTATTATTTTTTATGCTTGGCTTGTTTATAATTGATAGTAAAAAAATGTTTATTTATATATATGCATTTGAACTCAAGAAAATATTAAAAATTAAAAATATTGCTCCCTAAAATATTAAGATTTCTAATTTTATTTATAAAATAGTGAACTTTTAAATTTTTCTCTCTTAAATATTGAACATTTAGATTTAGTGAAATCATCTCTTTTCAATTTAGTGAAAATTCTAAGTGAATATTAAAATGTTATTTTTTGTCATTTTAAATTTAATTACCAATCAAACAACTGTTTTTACCGAACACTTCGGTTTTCAACCGCTACTTAAACAATTAACATCTAATGACTACTGAAATAGCTAACAACTACCAACTGCTAGAGCAGCTACCGAACAGATTCATAGTAATAACTTTTAAAATGGATTTGACAATTACTTATCTACCATTGGTTTGTCATTCCATATAAATATCCTACATAGAATCATGGCTTCAACGTATAAAAACTCTTGAAGCATGAAATGTATATATGACCATGCATCTAAAAGAGAAATTGACATTTGTAAGAAAAATTGGTTAGTATAATTTAAAAGCTAATATTATATCTCAAGATCACAAGTTCACTAAGAAAGAAAAACAACTTAATAAAATAAAACTCCTAAGAGAGATGTATTACTAAAAGGAACAAAAACTTATGGTTCTTCTCTTACATATTGGCAAAGAACAAAAAGAATCAATATCAGGAAAACCTAATCAATGGACTCCTAGCTAAACTAAGTAAAATACTCTTTTTTTTACTTAAAAAGACACTTAAATGAACTTAAATTACCTAGGAAGAACTAAGAGATACGTTAAAAAATTGAATGACTTCTTAAATACCCACTTTAATATTTTAAAAAAGCTTCCAATCAATACATTCTCTATGTTGGATACTGCCCTCTTGAAGCTTCTCATACTTCTAGGGTTGAAGTTGAAAAAGCGAGAAGAAATTGGAGTGATTGGGATATTTTCACAATTGCATATTTCAATCATGTACCCATCTGGGTCATGGAAGAAAATTTGATCCACTCTATTCCCATCATCATCATCAATAGTTGCTGTCACATACCTTATTCCCAATCCTTGCAACCTCCTCTTCACAACCCCTATATCTGTGCACTGTAGAATATTTATATTTTAGAAAAATCTTTATCAATTTGAGAAATATTTTTATTAATTGCTTCTATTAAAATAGTAAATATAATCCTTTTCTTAATAGCAATCATAATATAATACCAAATACAATACTAAAAATAGAGAAGTGGCCAAAATTTATAATTAAAAATGAATCTACAATCGTAAGTTTTTATGTTGATTTCAATCTGTGCAATAGTAAATATATATTCAATTTAAATCGATTTCAAACTGTTCCAAACCAACTCTTATTCGGTAAAAAAAAAAATTTTTTTATGTTGATTTTTTATATAGGCATTAGAAACTAGCTCAAGCATAATTAACTTATTAAATTAAAAACATAAATTCTAGTAAATTTTTTTATATTAAAAATGGAAAATATAGATTTATAAATAAATTTCATAAATTTTTATTTATTTTTCAAATTTAAATATAATTAATTACTAATCTTTCTCTATTAATTAACTAATCTCACCTGGAAAGAGATGTGATTATCCTTGGTATTAATAGGACGTGGTTCAATAATAGGATCAAATTCTTCAAGGGCTATATTCTCAATCAAATGTATTTGTTTTCCGACGCCGTAATTGTACAACCTACATATAAATCAAATTCAAACAAGTGAATGTTTCATTTTAATAAGTTCTTGTTCTGCACTAAAATTGCCTACTCAGTTTCACTTGTACTGTCATTCTTGTAATTAATGGAGATTTCAAGAAGAAGAAGAAGAGGAAGAAGAAAATGAAGTTAAAAACTAACCAAGCTCCATTAAACTTCAAAGAAGAAGGTCGTTTGATTTGAACAAAGCCCAAAACTTCTTCATAGAAATAGGTAGAAGCCCAGACAGATCTACAGGACAATGACACATGATTCAACGACAGAAGGGGCAGTGCCTCAGAGCTGCTCATTTCTTCAATCTCCATATTTCTTTTTACCTGTAATTTTTCTTTGTTTTCTGTAGCTAATGGACTTTCTTTTTCTCTCTTTCCCTTTCTCAGTCGAGCCAAGTTGTTTCTATCTACGAACCTCCTAACTAGCAGACTTCCCTTTTTATGAAGCATGGATTTTCTTGTCGTTTTGGATAATGAGGAACTTTCCAAGCAGATTCTCTCCAGCTTCTATAGCTTTTAAGATAAATGGTAACATGATGCTATTTGTCGCCAATCGCTACTAAATAAATTTTAAAAATTTTCTATATTTGTAATTACATTTTTAATAACTTGCTTTTATAAGGATATTTCTTCCCGTTCATTAGGGAAAAAAAAAAAAATAAAGTGAGAACATTTTATAAAAAAATTTATATTTTTATTGATTTGGTTGATGTTAGAAATATGTAAAGTGTATGGCTAACCCAATAACGAAAGTTTCGTAAGAGTACTGGAGCAGGTTACCGTAAAATAAAAGATCTTCTTTCTAAAGAGATTCGATTTGGAATTAGGTCCATAAACCCAGTTAGGCAAGTATAATCCTTTTTCTAATCTAATCATCAAATTTATTATCCTAACTTTTTATAATCGTCTGATGTATATATTTTGTTGTGGAAGTTACATTGGTAGATCAAATTTTCATATTAATTAGAAGATAAAAGGTCAAATAGACCTTTAAAATCATATATATTGTTAATTTAATTTCCAAATATTAAACTATTAAATCAAATAAATTTGTTAAAATACTAGTAATCCAAAATAGTATTTCAATTAGCAAAATTAATAAAATTCGATAATTATGTAAATTTGTCTTTGTAATTCAATTCTAATTTGTAATTAATTTTCCTGAAATAAATAGTTTCCATTAACTCCCATCACAAGATTTGCCGATTTGGACAGCCATCATGTTCAAGAATATCATATATCATTAAATTTGTTGCAATGTTCAGTATTCTATTTATAATTCCTAGTAAACAAGGTTTGGTTGCCTCTGCCACTAAAAGCAAATACCGACTTGGAACCTTCCACGCAGATGAGACTTTATCTGGGCGGATAAAATTAAGATATTCAGATTCAATTTTCAGGTTGACATTTATTAGGATATTGTAACATTTGAAAAAAAAAAAAAAAACAACGAGCCGTCCAAAATTTTTTTCTCGAAAATGAGTTTGATTTATTTTTATTTCTTTAAATGTTTTATTTAGACTGAAAATCTATATAAATTGTTACCTTTGCTTAGAAATTCATATTTTTTTTATTTGGAATGAAAAAAAAATATAAATTTTAATTTAATAGAATCGAACTTAACTACACTAAATTGCACAAGATAGGTACAATTTTCAAGTAAATTCCACAAAACTAAATAATCCAACTTTTTATGATAAAACTATCATTTTTCTTCTATAAGGTCAAATTTTTAATTTTTTACTTATTTAACTTATTTATGTTATTAAACTTGACCAAAACCAAATTTATTTTATTTAGAAAAAAATTTTTCTTTTATTGTGTTTTTTATTTTAATATTTTCATCTTTTATATTAATATTTTTTTAGCATTTTTTTTATATTGGGGAGAGACTCAAGTTAATTATACATTTATCACTAAATTAAATGCAATAATTTTATTAATATTGTTTTTATCTTATATATTTATTTTAATAAAAATATAAAATTGTTTTGATTATCTTATAATTATTTTTAATAAAAAATATAAAATTATATATTTATTTTAATAAAAATATAAAAGAATTATACAGTGTAACATAAATATAATTGGTATTTATTATTTATTTTTGTGAAATTGTTGTTTCAAAGATATTTTAGAAAACAAAATCAAATGAATTTTTAATTATCAACTTATTTCATACATTTTACGTGGAATTCAATTGAAATACATATCTTAAAGTGATCACACCGAACATGAAAATTCATTCACAAATGAATTCTACTAGAATTTATTACAAACGAATTCCATAATTTGGATTCATTTATACCAAACAGAGTGTTAATGTATTAAAAAAAAGTAGAAGAGGATATATTTACATGGGCAATACAAGAAAGTTAATCCTCATTTCTACCAATATGGATTGTTGTATTTTGGCAAAATACATGGATTACGTGGGGAAACTATCATATTTATGTATTCTATATGAATATGCTAGACATTGCTCTCAAACTCAAGGCGGTTGACTAAAAATCAAATTGAGTTTGGAAACTAATGTTGGACGTTCTTCGTAAAAATATTTCCCAATTGCTCAATAACGAGAGAGGAATAAGTCGAAGAGTGCCACACATGAGATAAGTTCGAGAAACATCATACTCAATCTCACTGTATCTAGTTTTCTCGTGAAAAGTATCATTACAAGTCATTTAAATAGTACTTTGACTATCATGATGAATATTGGTAGCAAAGTCAAAATTAACACCCATGCAACCAATGCAACTAAAACAACTTAGTTGTGGGATCAACAAGAGTTCGGTATTCAAACTCAGTATTGGAGCAAGAGACAATAGACAATAAATAAGGGCATCACCAAGAATAAAAAATTAAAAAAAAAAAAAAAAGATTGTTTGTTGAACATTGATCAATAAGATCACTCTCCCAGTCCACATTAAGAAAGGCAGTGAGCTATAGAGATAATATTGATGAATAATGCAAGCCATGAAAAATAGTCTCTTTTACATAGAAGCAAAATTTATAGAACTATAATAAAGTGAATTGAAGAAGGAGCTGACATTATATATATATATATATATATATACTAAAATGGAAACCAAAATTATTGTTTAATGAACAATGCCCTTTCATCTAAACCAAGTCATTTTATACTATTCCCAGTTTACCCTTTTTGCTCCATGTTTCGCACCAATTATCTTCAGTCTCTCTTTCTCTAGAAAATTTATCAAACTGTAATGTTGTTTGAATCACCATCATACGCTTCTCTCCCATCCATTCAGTATCAAATACTAAGGAAACCATCCAACCCAATTTAAATAAGTAACTAACTGTAAAAAAATCTACATGGGTGTTTTCAAATTCTTTAAAGTGGATAACCAAAAAATAGCATCAAAATTTCCAGACACTGTTTCTTCTTCATCGTTATCACAAGCGATACTTTGGTGAACGGAAACACTTCATAAATATGAGCATAATAACCAATAGCGAAACAAGAATGTTACAGACAACCATGAAATGTATCTTTTTTCTAGTTATTACCAAAAAAATCAGCTATAAGAGTACAAGGGGAGCACAAAAATGAGAAGGGGAATGCTAAACTCTCTCTGTGATTTATTTGTTTAACTCAATCGGGTAAAAATTGTAACATTCTGAACCTGAAACACCATACAATGATCATAAATCTGTATTTATGAACATGACATGTGTGACATGAACGTATATACACATGCATTTGCAATTGTTCTGTGACAAATATTAGGCTATGATATGCCAGATGTACTTGCCATGTTTTAAATTTATGTGTACAAGATGGTTTAAAGGTTATTGAATTTTATATTTCTACAATTAGAAAAACTATTTCATATTTATGGGGACATCCCCAAGTGATGAAAAGTTGGGTTTATGGGGACATCCCCAAGTGATGAAAAGTTGGGCTAAATTTTGTAAGGAAAATAATAAAAGATCAAAACGTTTTCCAAGGGATGTCCCAACTCATCGGAATTCAACATATGAATTATTAAACAAGTCTTTTTCGTATAAAGAATTATTGTGCATTTTTGTTACTAATAATATTGAATAAATTAATTTATATCCACAAAATTGGGATATTTGTGCAAAAATTTTAGATATTCTAAAAATTTTTAATGATGCTACCTATAAATTTAGTGGGGTTTATTATCCCACATCTCATTTATTTTTTATTTTTGCCTATATGCATTAATATTGTTAGTGCATTCCAAGAACTTGAAAATAATTTTATATTACAAGATTGTGTTTTTTCAATGAAAAAAAATGGTTATCTTATTCTAAAAATATACTACCCATTTATCTTGTTGCTTGTGTATTTGATCCTGGATGTAAAATTGAAGTTTTATCTGAATATTTGACTATTTGTTATGAATTATTAAATCTTGATATAGAAGATAGTGTTAATATAAATGTAGTATTGTATGAAGTTAGACAAAATATTGTAGAATTATATAGTGAATTTATTCAATTTTCTAGTTCATCTACTTCTAATTTTTTTCAATTCAATAATCAACAATTTCCAACTCAAAGGGAATAATCAACAATTTCCAACTCAAAGGGTAAGTGTTGGTGTTGCTGAACGCATTTTACTACAAAGACAAAAAAGACCAAGGGAATCCGGTTCTTTTTCTGAATTTAATAATTATCTAACCACTTCTTTCGACTTTGGTGATGATTATGCAGATAATAAATTTTCAATTTTAGATTGGTGGAGTCATCACACCAATACATTTCCAATACATTCTTTAATTGCAAAATAAGTTTTAGCAACTCCGGTAAGTTTTAGCAACTCCGGTCTCCACTGTTGAAGTTGAACAAATTTTTAGTCAAGAAGGAAACGTACTTGATGAAACACGATCTCGTATGACACCCAATTCACTAGAAACACAATCATGCGTGGATGATTGAAGTAAGACCGAAATAAGAGCACAAGAAAATCTCAAAAAAAATAAAGATTTATGTGATCTTTATGATGGGTCCTCATCAGAACATCAAACGGTAGTGAAAATAGCGAATAAGGTAAAAGAGGTGAAATGAGTACAAGGTAAGTAAGAACTACGTGGGCTTTGGTTCCTTTAAACCCTAAGAGAATACGTAGGCAACTTAATTTTTTTTAAAAGAATTAAGTTCAAGCCCTTTTTTTAAAAAAAAAAAAATTAAGTTCCAACTTTAAAAAAATTAAGTTCCAACTTTTTTAAACAAAAAATAAATTTAGTTGAAGACTTTTTTTAAAAAAAATAAATTAAGTTCAAGTCTTTTCAAAAAAATAAATTTAATTCAAGCATTTTTAATTTTTTTAAATGTATTTTTTTTAGAAATTATTTCACAAATTTTTAAATTTTAAAATTTGAAAACCGGCCTTTAAAATTTAAAATTATGCGATT